AAGCATTTTTCATTAAAAAATGGGAAAAATTTCCGCAAAAGTTAAACTAGACATAGCAACAAGCGAACAAGCCGATGAAGATCTGCCTACTTTTTCTTTGGGAATGGATTTCTTAACTCCCGAGATAGAACCCAAAGAAAGGGAAAACAAAACAATCAACGGTTTCATCTCGTTTCGCAACTCTTCATTTCCACGCATGAGTTCACCTGTCAGTTTTTGAGCAATCTGAGACAAGATCATCAAAGCATGGCAAAATACTTTTCCGAAACAAAATAATCAACGCATTAAAGCGGAGGAGAGGGAATTCCTGCCCTTTATACATAAACTACAGCGTTAAAAATGTTATAAAACAATTGGTTCAGCTGTACGTTCATCGAGATATGAAGCACTTGGAAAGTTTGGAGAGCACTAAAGAAGCTAGAGTTGCACTCGGCTGTGCCTCGAACAAAATTTTAGGCATCTTTCGTGCTCTCCAAACTTCCCGCGTGCTTCAAGTCTCGATGAACGCACGCTAACGCATGAACCAATTGTTAATAGTGATTATGTATGAAATACCAAATCGTACTTTACAAGTATTGAACACACTAAATACCAGTAACAGAGACAGGATATTTAACGGAAGAGCTAAGCTTATATATTTAACCTTACTACTTAAGGTGATCTGTCAGTATCCTTATCCAATTCGCCGTTGTTAGCGCCACCTTCGAAGTTGTGTTCACGAACATTCTTGATTTTTTTCAACAAGTGAGGAGTTCGTCTCAGCATCATAGTTTGTTGTTAAATCGGCCGTCACACTTTTGCCAGTATTTTCGTAGTTTGAACCCACATATCAGGGCTCGTGAGAACTAGTATGAACTTTCCACATTTGGCTAGCTTTCAAGCAATGAACTTCGTGGACTGGCCCATTCCGAAAACAGTGGACATCATTTAGCGTGGGCCTACCACGAACAGCGTGTGCGTTTACATGTGGGATGAGTTTATAAGACAGGAATCTTTGCAAAGCGGTCTTCACAAAACGCAGCATTCTGTAAATAGCCCATTTGCGAATTACCCTTGGCCTCAGTTTCAGAACGAGTTCTCGTGCTAATCCTTTCCTATGATAATAAGTTTCCATTCACATGCAGATTAAACTCGTTTTCACAAGAATGGTTGAGCACCAGGACTCGTTTTGAAAATGAGGTCAAGGGTAATTGGCAAATGGGCTCTTACGTTGTTTACGAAGAGCGAGCTTACGAGAACACAAGTTGTTGCACTCTCGTCCCCAGTTTCCGCGGTTTATGCAAGGAACGCCTGGGACCAGACCCCCCTTTTGACGATAAAAAAAAGGCTTGCATTTTCAGACTCGGGCTTTCCTACGGAAGCCCGAGTAATTAGAACTAACTTTGGTTAACCGCGTGGTGTCACGGCCGAAAAGTCGACCGAAAGCACTAACTGCAGTTAGGTATGACGTCACGTAACTTGACACTAACTTAAGTTAAACTTTAGTTACGTCGTAGATGTGACCACAGCCTTAGCAAAAGATATTGGTGTTAACGATATAGTTAATTTCTTATTATTCTTGTCTTAATAAATAATTGTACGAAGTTTAACTTGTCTTTTTTGCTGTGAAAAACTTTTTTTCTGATAAATTTGGCTAAAAACAATGGTGCGTATTATACATGGGCGCGTATTATACACGGGTAAATACGGTATGTAAAACTTTGATAGCTTTGTTTACATCTTTTGTTTTGGTCTTCATACTCCAATGGCTGAGCCAAACTTTCCAACGTTGTTTCTATGGCTTTGATATTTAATATTAAAACAATCCTAATCACTGCAACCCCGTCAGTTCGATTTCGGAGTTATTTCGATTTCAACTGAGTGAAAATGTAAACAGTGTTGACCAGCTTTATGTTCATTTCGCTTAAATTTCTTTCAGCGTCATGACCAGGGAAGTGATAGAGGCCACTGGAATCCAAAGGTAAAAACCAACACTGAAGAAATGTTAGTCTTAACATTAAAAGAGTTTTATCACTAAATTTTGAGTCTCTGAGGTCACTTCAACCTGGGTTTAGGGTTGGGGACACGACGTTATCTTGCAGTAAACAAGGAGAGTGAAGAAAGGGAAATATCATAACAGATTGTAAATGGGAACTTCATCAATTGAGACAAATCGTGAAGCGGCCTCGGTTGATAACAACAATCACAGAGTTGTTGTTTGAATCAAAATTTAAATTTTCCTTTTCTTTCATAGCTTGGCTGTATTTCTTTTCTCGGAATTGTAATGTTTTTGATAAATTGGTAATAAGACTTTGTGTCGTCTTATTCGGTTTGATATAACTGGTCTCTTTCAGAACATCTCCTGCACTACCTCCCCCTGGGGTGACTGTAGTACATTCTCCACCACCTTCAGATGAAGGCTGCGTAGACGCTTGTTGCAAGTGTGAAAGCGGATACGAGTGGTACGACTTACAAGGGAAAGGTAGGTAATCATATTCTTTTAGAGCCTCACTTGTCAAGACTCGTCGAGACTTATATATGTTTGTGACGCAGAACTGACTGTTTGAATTTCTACCGCTGAGTGAAGATTCAAAAGAAGACGCATGATCTTTGATGATGAGCAGAAACTTACATTTGCATAAAGGAGCTTGAAAGACATCAAGCTTCGACGGGATGCAAATCTTGGTCTCCTAGATACTAGTTGGGCGCTACTACCAAGTGAACTGCGAGGCCATATGTTGGGAGCGAGACGCCGTAATTTTTAGGCTTAAAACAGATTGTTAATTAATTAGGTTTCTTAGCTCTAATTTGTTTAATCATTTTTCAGGTGCCTGCATTGTCATGTTGCTCCTTTTGGGTTACTTGATTGGTGGAGTGATCATTTTGGCAATATACTTGTTGTGCTGTATCCTGGCATGCCTTGGTAGTTGCGACACCTCAGATAACTAAGCAACACAGTTAATCAGTGGTCTATCTAGGGAGCAGAAATTAGATTGAACCAATTAGCCTAGAGCGCTTTCTCTGAAAGTTTTAATCTATACTAATCGGGATTCCCTATCTTCGAATTTCCCTCTCCTCAGCCAAGCACGAGCGCGTTATTTGTAGAAAGCTTTCTCAAATTACAACTACTATCTCAGAAGATTTAATGTTAGAATTAACATTAAAAGCACCACTCAACTATACATTCTATACTGAAGTAGAAAAATAAAATATTGAACCTCAGAAAATGGTGGACATTAAAATCATGAGTGCGAATACTAAACCGTAAACAACACTTAAACATAAATACTTTTGAGGTTTCCACACATGTTCTAAACTCCATCCTGATTGATCAGTACGGAATTTCCACATCAGAACCACATCAAATGTAAAAGTATTAGGCGAATTCTTCACCGCCTCGTTTAGCACCATTATCGATAAATGCAAATGATTTGAATATGTAAGTGCAGTGTGATCGTTTGGGTGGGTGTTGTTCCGAGGAAGACTGTTGACGGTGGTCGGTGACTGACGTTTCGAAAACCTGCGTGGAAGTCATCATTAGAGTCAAGGAAATAGTTGTTGTCAGTAGAATGTTCTCAGTTCAGTTCGTGTGAAATGATTGGTCAGTTTTGCCATAATGTTATTGGCTGTATGACTCAATTGGCGTAAGTCGGTGGCGATTGGTCTGTTCCGATCCATCGGTATAGTTAGGTCGTTCTGTTCGGTTCGTTTGAAATGTTAATGTAGTGAATGAGTCATTTGTATGGAGCCGGTAGTAGTTGACACCTGTTTAGGGGAGTCTGTTCTAATATAAGTGCACCAGTACTGTAGGTTAGGCATCGTGCAGAGTCCCAGTCAGTATTGTGGTTCGTAAGTAGATGATGTTCAGCAATGTGATTGACATGTTGACATCACCTTTCTTCGTCACCCGTCTATGTTCAGTCAGTCTTTTTGCGAGGTTTCAGCCGGTCTCTCCAGTGTAGGAGGCTTGGCAGTTGGAGCAACTGATCTTATGAATCCCTCCATGTCTGTTCTTCGGTTCGTCCTTGTCTTTAACGTTGGTTAGTAAGTAGTGTAGCGATGAGTTTGTGGGCAGCGCGGAAATTGAAGGGCTGTCAGATGCGCAAGATGTTCTCAGACATGCTTTTTATGTACGGTATGGTTACTGCAGTCGTAGGAGTTGCGGGTCGTTTTTTTCAGTAGTAGTAGTAGGTCGATGAGTCTTTCGTCGGATGAAGTCGTCGTTGTGGTTTTTCTTTGAAAAAAACACGGTCAAGTTAATTCTTCTCGTCGGATAAGTTGTCTGTTAGAGTTCTGATAGTTGTGGCTTTGTGTGATGTAGGGTTGTAAGTTGACTCGTCAAGTAATCTGTCGGTGTCTGTCGGGTTCAAACCGTTTACTGCATTACGTTCACTTGGACGACAGAGCGAAAGACTTGCGAACGACTACATCACCTACGCAAGCACTGCCAGACGAATACGACAACAACTCTGATTCAATCACCGCTGTAAATATCACGGCCTTGTTTCCGAAGGGCTTAAACTTAAGTCCCCGTTGAATACACAGGAGGCCTATCTAGATCGTTAAAGCCACCTGCAGACGACTGGTCAAAGCACGGACAAATGATTGTCACAGAAGACTCAAACGCTACGAAAACAAACTACAACAGACTGAAACAACTGATACCAACTGACTTATTTGACACTGTTACGACAATTGCCGACAAACGAGCCAACAATACGACTGAACGCACCCGTACTGGCATCAACAGAAACTGACACGGCTGCTATGCGATAAAGAACAGAGGCAAAATAAACCGGACAACAACTGGGTAAGTAACCGCCTCCCAGTAAGCTCAATGGATAGACCGCTGGACTGTAGTGCGGTAGCTCGAGGGTTCGAGCCCCGGCCGGACCAACACTCAAGGTCTTAAAATAATTGAGAAAAATTTGCTACCTTTCTATAACATCAAGAAATGGTTAGATATTCTAGTCTTCTCGGATAGGGACGCATCAATGGAGGTCCCGTC